ATGACATTTTTACTTCACTGTGTATTAAACAATGAAGAAAAATGCACCTCCTTATAGCTTACATAGATTAAATAACAGGTTGCTTACCCACCTGGTTACCTGCCAAAATAGTTTTAATTGGTGTGGAGATGTCCTGAAAACCTTAGTTTTCTGCATTAAGGCCCTGTGTGAATGTTCCTCCTGAGCTGACAAGCCCCGACATGTCTTTGAAGTGAAGGAGGAGGACTAAAGACGTGCTGTGTACAGTAATCCTCTACGATTACATTTTTGCTGAAATACGCTGTTATTAATACTTATATAATCACTAAAATATTTCTCTCTTGGAAATTAGAGTACCAGCATCAGAATTGATGCTAATATTATGGGATGCTTGACAGTGAATTTAATTTTTTGTATGTGTATTGTAGAGTTGTTCTATTCAAAAAGAGAGGAAACAGGTCTTGCTTCCATGAAGCAGAACATTTCTTCACATCGTTGTATAATTACCTTGTCAGCTGCTGTCACCGCTGCATCCAGGAAGTTGTTCTCTTTTCCTGTTTTTTTTTTTTTTTTGTATGGTCTGTGAGCAGCACCAGGATTTATCTCAGGTCTGCTTCATGCATAAAGTGTAATTCCTTTGCAGTGTTTGAAGTTTTATAATGCAAAATACAGTTGAGGATCTAATTTCTAGTTTCGTGCTCATGGAAATCCGATGTCAATGCTGGATGAATGATATGAGGACTTGACCTGTCACTTTTGCAATGTAATATATAAAATTCAGAGCATCATACCTGTACAGTGGAGGTTGAACATGTAGGACACAAGTCAGGGGCAAGAGACCGTTCGCCTTCCAAGTAAAGGTTGTGATGTTTGAAATGTGTTTATTCATCGGTAAAACTGAGAAAGAGTTATCAAAGGAGCTTGCAAAGAAAAGCGTCTGGACTTCTTTAAGTTGCTTGAAGACGTTTCACCTCTCATCCGAGAAGCTTCTTCAGTTCTTGAGAAAGAGTTATCTATTTTCATTTATGCTTACTGCTTATTCTTAGCAAGCAAGTTGGGGAAAATTGCAATTAATTAAAATTGCAATTAAATTAAATCCTGGATGTTTGTCCTTCACACGAATGATGCCACACCTGTAACTGTGAAGCTTTTGTTTAGGTTAACAATATCAGTATTTCAGGCTGTCTTTTAACAGTAGCATGTTTTTCCTGGCTTAGAATAGGCCTTGCTGTTGAATAAGTCTGTTAACTTATTCAACAGCATTCATGCGTGTTCCTACCCTTTGAAACATTGTTAAATACTAATGTTGTTAATAAACGAGTGCATAATTCCCAGTAACACAAATTTAAAACATTTTTTTTAATCTGCTCCACACAAATATTTATTTTGTTAGGATTAGGTCACTCTACCTGTGACCTGGACAAGCTTTAGAAAACGGACAGCTCAGTGTCAGACGGTCAGTTTGATAAAGTAGGAAATGTGTGTTGAGTCATTATCTCTTCTGTGAAACACTGCAGAGGCGTTTCTGATACAATCATGTGATCACCTCAGGCTTGAGGGTATCACAAGGTTGGTAACAGCTACATTGATTTTATGTAAAGTTGATGTAAATCAGCTTACAGTTTACTCACAGATGTAACCTCAGTGTACCGGGAAGTGGACATGTTTGGTTTTTTTAATGTACATGTTAAACATAACATGAGTGCTATACTCTAAAACAATAGAAGCCTTTCTTCCACCAGCAGTTCTCCCCACAGAGCAGATGCCCTGGTTAGATTTTTTGGAAGATGCTGCTGCATTAAACTGCATATTAATAAGGTAAACTTAATTCTCCTGAACTACTTTGCTTTAAAGTGTGGAGTTCATCTAAGTGCAGTTTGTTTCTTGTGTGTAAAGATATTAACACAGAAACCTGCTGCTTAAGTGTGGCAATTCAGACTTCTTCTTGCATAGTGTAACCCTCAGCTGACTAAATTATTTGGCTTATAAATTACCATGTACGCTTATTTATGGTGCCCATTTTATTCTGTATGGGACTTCAGTGTATTTACATTTTGTTTTCAAAGTTTAAAAGGTGTGACATTATCTTCCATTCAATTAAACTGTGTCCACACCAGAAGTGATTTGCTGCACTGTAGCGACCAGAGATCACAGAATGTACATATTTGGCAACGCAAAAGTGGGCGGGACCTGAGATAAACTTTTCTCAACTTACAGCAAATGACTGAAGGGGCTACCAGTGAAAGTGTCAAATGTCATATTTGTCATAAGACCTAGTGGTAAATAAGGTAGAGGCTTACGAGACAAGATGGACCTTGTGATTTCCACAAGTGATCATCGTCAGTTTCAAAGCGATGCACAGTGAGTGGATGGTTTTCTGTGTGCATATGAATCCTTGTTTACTCAAGTTCTGTTTCAACTGTGGTGTAAAATTTTCAAAAAGGAACGAGGGGCGAGCTTATTGATGGCATTTAAAAGCAGCTGGAGATGAATGGTTCGCGTCGGGTTTTCAGACAGACAGGAAAAAAAGGAGAGAACTGAATAGAAGCTTAACACTCGGTGGTTAATGCTGACATTATGTTTTGATTCCAGCTTACTTTTCCACTGGCTGCGAATATTTGTAGGTTTCTAGCACAACTCTATTTCCGCAAGTAACATGAGGGGAAACTTGTGATGCACCATTACCAACTACATTACTAAATCTATTTGCGTCAGTAATACTAGAAAAGGAACACTTAAGGTGGGTACAGTGTGCCCTTATTATTTTAACACCAGCCTTTTATCCTCTGTTGTGCTTCTGTTTCAGAGCAAGTCTAAACAAACACATGGTTTTTAGATGTGTCGTATTTAAAATATTTGCAGAGAAACATTCAAAATCAAGAGTTCTGCAGCAGTAAATCTTGTTCTAGGTCTGTTAGTCATATTATCATATATAAGGATTATGGGTGGGAAATTACAATAAAATCAGAGTGTTTATTGTCGGGACTTGCATACAAGTGTTCATTTTCCTTGCCACAACAATGAGCCACTTGCAGAAAAATACAACGTATAAATATACAACCAAATTCCTGTTAAGAAACATTTTTTGATTAGAAATATCCCAGTAGGAGATAAATGTTCAGCTGAGGTCATTATTAATTTGACTTGAAGGTTAGGAGGAGTAGATGCAACACGCATTTTTTGATCTGGCTACAATGTATCAGCCTTTTAAAAAAACTGGAGCTGAATTGGTGTTGGTGTGACAGAGTTTGAATAATGGCATGCATGCAGGGATTATTTCCTCCTGGAGACGCGTGTTTCCCGTCTGTGAATGTCAGGTGAAAGACAGGAAGCCAAGCGGTGACACACAATGCAGCGCTGGTATGAATACACTGAACCGTGAAGCGGTGATAAATCAGGAACTCTGACGAAGACGGAGAAAAGGCTTCATCTTTATCATGATAGATTATCAGCCTCGAGCAAGTTACAAGCCCGTGGAAATTATTTTTCATGCTATAAAAAATAAACAGCAGCAGAAGGAAAAAAAAGCAGCATCTAAGACAGTTGCCCTACTTTTAACCTGGACAAGTGAGTGTGTTCATCAGGGTTCAGAGCTTGAACCCAGTCAATGAAGTAGAGAACCCACTGACACGGTCACGCTGCAGGCCTCACGGTTTCAGCTGTAACAGATACCGCCATCATGTCGTTTGGATAACCAGGACAGTTTGCTGTGTGGACACAGACATGCAGGAACACTAGGGTATGCAGTTCTGTGTGAACGAGAACAATATCAATAAGTGCATTGTCTTGTTTGGTAAACAGAGCATTAAGTGTGTGGACATAGAGTGGTAGTGACACAGAACCATCATAGCTACATGACAGTGTTGCCCCATTATTTAAACTGCACAGATAACACAGGAAAATTAAATTTAAAGTTAAAGCAGGGTTGTCATATTAAGTTTAACCAATGGCCACACAGAGAAATGGGAATCTGATCAAGGTTCAGACATAGATTAAGCCTAATCGCAGACCATCAACACAGGTTTTCATTGAGTTTTTCGTTTAGACTGGGCCTAGGCCTAATCCATGTCTGGGAAACCTGCTGATGCAGTTTATTCGAGGTTTTTCCAGGCTCAAATGAGTCTTTAAGGGTATTGCATAAAGGCATGATTGATCCACATATACTCAAAACTAAGACCCGTCAATTTGCCAAACAAAAATGACATTTTTAATCTTGAGTTTAGTAAACCCCACTGAAAACACAGTAATGGTGATTTTCATTTGGTGGAAACCCAAAACTACTTTGGTCTATGCTTGAAATTTCAGAACTAGTTGACAGGAACAACGTATGATGTCCAAATTTTCATATACAGGACAGTGACTTTTCTGAACGAGGCATATCTTCCTATGAGAATTAGTACTTCTAAACTATGATTCTACTTGGACTGTTGAGGAAACGTTTTGTGTGTGTATCCCCCCCCTTTTTTAAATTTTTTACTTTTATCTGTTTTTTTTTTGTTGTTGATGATTGATTGAAGTGTAGATGCTAATTTATCAGGGCAAACATTTTGACACTTAGAAACCTTGTTGGTGAAAAATAGATGTGAAAGGAAATTGGGCCAATGTTGGAGATGCTTTACACTTTTCTCAACTCCAAGGCATGCCTTATCTGATAGAGAACAACCCATGCATTTAATTTCTTTTTTGCAGTATTCTGATTGATATTTCTTTCTTTGTAAGAGACTGGGGCTTATTGGAAGAATGTCACCGTCCTTCGGTCTGTGATTCAGTTTTTGCTTTCACACCTCGACCAGCTTTGACCTGAGAGAGAGAGTCACTGTTTCAGCCACGTATGCTGGATTTCTGTTCTCAGGATCATTTTTACATGCAAAAAATAGCCTCTTTTCCACCAGCACCTACTCTATGTGACTCGACTGAGTTTCGATTGTTTTCCATTATAATTGATTGCTACCTCAATGTGGGTGGTGGTATTATAGCAAGGTCCTGTGACATTTTTATGCAAAACAAACACAAAAATGGAGGGCACTTGTGTGTAGCCGTTTTCATCATTTCCAGGTTTCCACAAATGACTGGTTTTATTCCTGAAAGTTGCCCTCATGACTCTTTGACTAACGTCACCCCCTGGCCAATCAGTGGCGTGCAGTCTGTTGATGGCACATTTTCAGCTCGACTCCGCTCACTTGGAAATCCGTTTGAGTAGGTACTAAAAAAGTAACTGGTACCAGGTTGTACTACCACCCAATGGAAAACCCTAAAAACAGTCGAGTGAAGTAGGTGCTAGTGAAAAAAACGGGCTTTAGTGAGCGAACATCTAGCTGACAGGAAACGAGGTGATGGGAAAAACATGAAATCATGTGTGCAAACCAAAGTCACCACCTTAATGATTGAACCATTCGGGTAGGTTAGATGTCTGGGTAATTGAACCTCAATCTGAAGATCACGTGTGAAAATGTTAATGGCAGAAAAGTATATTTCCTCCATTTCAGTTAAACAATAATTGAGTGAAATGCTACAGTCTTCCCATTATACTGGAGGCTAATATATGGCTGATGATGCTACAAAAATAATCCTTTTATGTTAGGCTGTTATGACTTAAAAAAATTTATGAAGACAAAGAAAGTGGCTGGCCTATTTTTGGGTCCATCCCCACTTCAATTAGTCACAGCGTCTTGAATATGAACGCTGTCTTTCGCTCCTTCTTCCTTGGAGGGTTTTGTAAAGTTGACAATCATTCACAGGCTGTCATTAACCTAAATAATCACGCGGCCAGTGGAGAGACAGCCCAGATGTAAAGGCTGTTGGCAGTCAGTTGAATGTCAGGAGTGCTGTTTAGTTTGTATCCTAAAGCTCTTTCATGTCTTTAAGTCTCATAGAAACGAGCCAGAGGGACGACAGGACATTTAAAACCTCCTTATAATTGTTCTGTGGTCTGCAGCATAGTTAACCTCACAATAGCTACAATTTTTAACATGCCTCTTCCTGCTTGTTTCCTAGGAGACAGCGGGAAGGTGACAACGGTCGTGGCCACACCGGGTCAGGGACCGGACCGCCCACAGGAAGTCTCCTACACTGACATCAAGGTGAGAAAGAAAGCAAAACTGAAGCTCTATGAAATTACAACTTTCTTTTTCCAAGTCTTCTCCTCATTTTAGTTTTGTCTGTTGAGGATGGTTTTACTTAGTTGCTGCATATTAAACGCACAGTTGTGAACAGCACATGTAAAGCCCCCAGTCTATGTAGCAAGTAGAGACCAAACACACTTGTGCAGAACCAAATGTGTATACATCTTCTTTGGTTTCTTTTTGCTTTTTAAAAATCAGAACAACACAATTTCAGTTTTCTTGAAACTAAAAGAAAATGTATCAAAATCAAACCACTTCTGACTGCTTCTTAATAGCATCCAGGTTTCTCCCCCCCTTTTCTCCAAGAGCAAAATGAATTTATAGTTTATGTAGTTTGTAACAATGTGAAACTGAAGTTGACTCAAACAGTTGGCGAGTACAGTGCGCTTGTCCTCCATTTGTCATTGTTGGTGACGCCACCAAAACATCCAGTCTGTGGGAGAGTTTCAGCTGATGGGTCATCATGATACAGCATCAAGCAGATTTTTCACTGAAGCTGAAATATTTTCAACCCACACAGATTTCCACTTTTCTTATTGTCTAACAGAAATTTTTGGCAAACCAAATCGTGCATAAACTTTGTATGTGATCTCAGCAAAAACTGCCCTCGTTTGGTATGACAAGGGCGTTAAAGACGTTAAATGGGATCTGTCATTCTTATTTCCAACTTTATATTTTTATTGGATTCTCGTGATTAGTTTTTGATGAGTTAGTTTTCATGAGTTTTTAAACACCACAGTTTTTAGTACTTGAGAGCCAGTGTCCTGAAACTTTTAAATGTGTCCCTGCTGCAATACAACAGAATAAAATGAGTAGGTCATTAGCAAGACTATAGAACTTGACTGCATGCTGAGGTGGCAACCCCTAACCTAACTCAAGTAAATTAAAATACATGTGTTTGGAAAAATGTACTCCTAAAAGTACTTTAATTGCACCATGTTCATTCACTCATGAGCTACTGTAACATCACCACCTCAGCATGAAGTTTCAGGACACCGGCCCTCAAGGACTGGAGTTTGACACCCATCCTATAGAGCTAGCAGTGGAATAATCTGAATCCTGAGGTTTTGGCTCACAGGGATAACTCAAACGTTATTTGAAACTTTAATCACTGCATGTAGAATTAATAAGGGTATTGATCAATGCTGATATTTCCATAATTATTCTGCCAAGCCATAAAAATGCATGATTTTAAAGGCGCACATTCTTTTGCTTGTGTCTTTGGAAAAAATGACATAACTGTGTCAACTGTAGCTTGAAACTACAGAAAGAAGAGTGTTGCACTGAGCCAGGCTGTTATCACTTTTAAGATTACTTAATGGCTCTGTAGGTGTGTGTAAATTCAGATTTATCACACTTTTATCACAAAGCCAATAAAATCGTAATTTAGGCTTATCAGAAATACTTAACTTGTCTGATGCCTGCAGCAGTGGAACGTTATCATTATATTTGTATAATTTGGCAAGAGTCTTAAGCAGAAACAAAATCTGACTACAAACATCTCACTGTGCTTAATCACCATCTTTAATACCTGTAATTTTAATACCAAAGGATGTAAAATTGCCAAATAATTTTGATTTATTCATAAACTGTTTCTGTGCTCATGTCTGACTATCCATCTATCTTTTGTGAAACAGTCACAAGATTTAATCTATTAATACATTTTCTTGATCATTAATTTCCCCTCTTATTTATTTTTATAAACAAATTTTCTACATATGTCCACATAGTTATCATTTCACAGAAGTCCCACATGAGACCCTTAACACTTCACATGGGTAACTTCTGTTAGATTACTAATGGAATTTGGTTGGACACCATAAATCGCTAGGTTTAGGCATGAGAAACTACTTCGTTAGTTTTATAAGAATAGGCTGAGTTAGGATTAACAAAAAAAGGAAGATTGTTTGGATTTAAATACATAAGTTGTCATTTTATAATTTAAATTTAGTGGTTGTTAGAGTGAAAGATCTCCACTGAAGAGTCATCATATGCGCTGTAGGCTTGAAAAACACTTTCAGAAAAAATCAGACTATCAGTCAAAGATGGACAGAGCCAATTTATTACTGTTAAAAGAATGGAAACATCAGCAGCTGCAGCTTTCAGGAAATTAAATAAACGTTTGTGGTTGATCACCTGATGGGCTGTCCTTCAGTCTGACTCTCCTGTTCTGTTAAAACCTTGCAGGTCATTGGCAATGGGTCGTTTGGTGTGGTGTACCAAGCTCGCCTCATCGACACACAGGAGATGGTGGCCATCAAAAAGGTTCTGCAGGATAAGAGGTTCAAGGTAGGCGTGTAATTTAGTTTCTGTAATAATCTTATCAACGGCACCCCCCTCACCCTCCTTGTTAATAGTTTTCGTGATCACTTTGTTTACTTGGTTTCCCTCATTGACTCGTGTCTGTTTGTCTGTACAGAATCGGGAACTACAGATCATGAGGAAGTTGGACCACTGCAACATTGTCCGATTACGTTATTTCTTCTACTCTAGTGGCGAGAAGGTAAAAAAAACAAAGGGGTCATTGTACAGACTGCTCCTAAAGAGAGCTGAAAGAAGAGATGGTAAAACAGTTAAGCTATGGTTTATAAAAAAAAAAAAAAAATGACATAAAATAATTAAACCTCTCTAAACTCCCAGTAGTTTCAGTATGTCGAAACTATAAATAAAAGGAAATGGTGCATGTCCATAATACATATACAGATGCTCAGATATAGCATTAAAAAATAACCCAACCCTAAAAAGGGGAAGCAATTAGTTTCTTTTACTGATAAATATAGAATCTGATTTAATGTTGCAGAAGTAACTTACTGGAAATGTTTTGTATCAGCGTGCGAGGTTATGCCAGGCTTGTCTGTGTGTTTGCTTAGCTGTCTTAAACCATAAATGCTTTAACTACAGTTACCTTTGTGTCAATCCCTCCATCCTTTGCAGAAGGATGAAGTGTACCTCAACCTCGTGTTGGACTTTGTCCCCGAGACGGTCTACAGGGTTGCCAGGCATTTTAACAAGGCCAAGAGCATTATTCCTATCATATATGTGAAGGTAATTCTGCCCCTAATTTCCTTCCAAAACATTTCCATGTTGTCCAAGTCACAGTATTTTTCTGTTGAAGTTTTTATTCTCCAAAAACTTCAAACATTGTAAAGTTCAGAATTTCCTTCTTGTTTTCAAGAATCTCCTCAGAAGGTCTCCAGTACAAATACCAAGCTTTATGCTATTTATGCCTCTTAATAAATTATTTCTATGTTGTCTGATTTTTGTATTTTGTGTTGACCTCCAACAGGTGTACATGTACCAGTTGTTTCGCAGTCTGGCTTATATCCATTCCCAAGGTGTGTGTCACAGAGACATCAAGCCCCAAAACCTGCTCGTCGACCCAGAAACTGCCGTCCTAAAGCTGTGTGACTTTGGCAGGTGAGCTAAACCAAAAGAATTTCCACACAAATTAGAACTTAATTTAACAGTAGTAGCAGGATTACATTTATCTGCCTTTTAAGTATATATATTTTTTCTGAAATCTAATATGGGAAGAATAACAGCATTTCTAATGCTTAACACTTGGATTCTGTTCTATGAATCAAGTTCAACATGCATAGGATATCTTTTCCTTATCTTGCCTTATCTTTACGTCTGCAAACAGTCTGAACAGGGTAATGAAGGTGGTTGTCACCTCAATTCAACTCATCTAATCTAGCTATGAGCACATTCATGTGAAAGACCTGGAGTTTGCTGCATGTGATTAATTGGAAACGAGGACACGTCAAGGGCTATTAGAGCATTATATTTCACAAAGGAAAAGCAAAGAGTAATGTTGTAAAAATACAAAGAAGTTAACCATAAAACAAGCACAAAGTAACACACTGCTGTAAACGTGTGCTGAGAAAAGCCCTGAACAGAGTGTGAAGTATTAAACAGTGATGTATGATTGCATGTGTCATATGTTAGATCCAGAAATGACAGCTGGCAAAAACTCTACAAGTTTAGCATCAGGAACACGGCTCTGTTTTTATTTTTGGTAGTATTTATTTTTATTTTTTTATTATTATTATTTTTTTAATTCAAATGCTTATTTTTCTGTTTCACAAGCACACATGTCTCTCCCAATAGCCTTTCTCCTGCACTCAAGCTGCATTACTGATCTCCTCTTCAGTATCTGCAGATGATGATCAGGCATTTGATTGAAGATCAGACTTTAATTACAATGTTTAATTAGTTAAATTAGGATGTTGTTAAATGAAAGGACTCATACGGTGTGTAATAAAGTGTTAATCTTGCTCTGCCCAGTTGTGTTAATCTGTCTGATAGAAATAAAAACTATAATTCAAAACAGCAAATGGCCTGATTGCAAATTTTATAAAAGTCATCAAATACTCTTTTAAGATGATATTTCTTTATGAATGTTTGTATATCATAAAAATTGTTTTCAAATTTTGCTTGCTGACAGAAGGGGAAGGTAAAGGAAAGAAGTTAGTCCTCAGAGTCTATATTTCTCTTTGATGCTCGGGGAAATATAAAAACTTCAGACCCTCTTACTATCTGCAAACAGAGGCATCTTACAGGAGTAGTGTCACTATTTTCCAGACAACTAAGTGCTCAGTAGGGAGTCGTTTGGTATATATTGATCTCCTATCTTTTTTTTTTTTTTCCTGTCGTCTTTGTTACCATTTAACGTGATTCTTGTGCTTCCTTCAGCGCAAAGCAGCTTGTCCGGGGTGAACCAAATGTGTCGTATATCTGCTCACGGTACTACCGCGCCCCGGAGCTGATTTTTGGCGCCACAGACTACACAGCAAACATCGACATCTGGTCAGCTGGCTGCGTACTGGCAGAGCTGCTGCTCGGACAGCCCATATTCCCCGGCGACAGTGGAGTGGATCAGCTAGTGGAGATTATCAAAGTGAGTTGTTTTGTTTGTTTGTTGTTTTGTTTGTTTTGTTTTGGTTTGGTTTTTTCATTTAAGTCTTTCTGCACCATTCATTTATACTATTAAAAGGTAGTCTTGCAAACACTCTGTTTGAAGTAAATGTCTTATCCTCCTCTTCTGTTCTCAGGTATTAGGAACACCAACAAGGGAACAAATTCGAGAGATGAATCCAAACTACACAGAATTCAAGTTCCCTCAGATCAAAGCGCATCCTTGGACCAAGGTAGATAACACCTGAGGACGAATAACAGCAGCTCAGTCAGTTTTCTCCAGGTCTATGCTCTCTGGAAGCAGGTGCTCTGTGAATAAGACCGATCTTTTGTCTGAAGTGAGAAATAAAAGTTAACATTTTTCATTTACTTGATAAAACTGTGATATGTTGGTAGATTTCTTGTTAATTATATTGATGGCACTGACTTGGACGTCAAGTAACAGTCCCAAAAAGTGAATTATTGTTGTTTATAATGTTAAAAAGAAAATGGCAAAACCAGCAGTTACAGCTTTTATACTTTTTCAGACAAAATGAATCATTTCTGCAAAAGTAAGTTTTAGGAAATGATTTAAAAGTAGATGCAGAATTTGCTAACCTCGGTTCTTTTGCAAAACAGTTCCTCAACTGCAGGGTGTCTAAATTTCCTTTAGTCTGACCTGAGGAACCTGGGCAGTGACTCAGTTTTTGAAGGGGAGTTGATGTGTAATATAGTCGGCGAGTCCATGAAAGGCTTTACATTTAAAAGTTTAAAGTCAGTTCTGTATCTTAACTGGTAGCTCCTGTAGTGTAGCAGGGATAGGAGTCATTTGGTCTTTGGTGTCATTAAGTGTATTTTTTAATTTAAGTCTCGTTTAGTTTGGGTGCCCAACGTCCTCTGTAAGCCTCGTTTATGGTTACTGCAATGGTATGCATGACATCATCGCAGCCCTGTGAATATTTACATTGGTGTTTGTGGCACTCTGGACTTGCTACAGTTTTCTCCAAAACAGTAGGTGTTGCAACCTTTTCACCAGCGCTGGTGCAGAAGAAGTCAAAACAGGAAATGAAGCAGTCACAGAGGTTTTCTCCAGCATGTCTCATATTTTCCAGCTGTTGCAGCTTCTCTCTCTGTGCATTGCTATATGTTGCTGTAGAGCTGTAACACACTCATAGACATGGCACCAGGTTAGAAAAACTGAGATACCAAAGCACGGGGCACCTACAGCTAGGACATCATTTTTGTTGATGTACCGACTGCTGCTTCCAGTGCAACCATAAAGTGCTGCCACTCAGAAGCAATCATTAGGCTCATCTTTATTGGTAGGTTTATTGAATTTTAAAGCCCTATAATTTATCTTTTCCCTTAAAAAAGAACCTAAGGAGGAGGAGAGTGGAAAACCTCTGTTAGGTGCACATTTATTAGAGTAAAAAAGAGAAATCCTGTGGTTGTGAGGATGAGGCCACATGGACTTGAGGTGTTTTTAATGTTTGATTAAATGAGATATACAAAAAGTATATACTCAGCATGCAGCCAAGAGAAGAATCTCTTGTAAATTTACTACAAAGCAGCTGGCTCTACTTCAAAAGCTGCCTGCTGTTGCCTTTGTAGATGCAGAACTCCTGCATAGAAATGCCTGTCTGTCATTTTGGGTTAACTTTCAGATGTTAAACAATGGAAGAAACCCTGCATTGCATGACACTGGTTAAACATACTGGCATATGGAGCTTGCCAGTATGTTTAACCAATGGCTTGCCAGTATCAAAACGTGTTGCTAGATGTTGGAACTTTTGAAGAAAAGCTCTCGTATTTCCTCAGGTGTTTAAACCTCGCACCCCTCCAGAGGCCATTGCGCTTTGCTCTCGGCTGCTGGAGTACACGCCAGCCTCGCGCCTCTCCCCGCTAGAG